GCATATCAATGGGAAGGATTGACCCTTGGGCTGATTGGTTGGAAGGACTGGCCATGACAGTATAACAGTGGAGGAGCTGTTATAAAGGGGCCAACTCTATGAAGCAGGATTTGTTTTATTGGGGCTCAATACCTGCTGAATCTACACTTTGGGTGCGTCATTTTTTGAGATGGTTGAGTGGTACTTTGATGTGGTCTGAAACTGGCCACCTGATGTACTAGTTCTGGGGCATCATGGGAGGGGCTCTGATGCAGGCCAAGGTCAGATGCCTGTCCCCTGCCTGGGGACATTCAGCATGAGATATAAAACAATCTGCAGGTGGCAGCTTCTTGTGCTGGACTTTGAGGTTCCCCAAAGAGGCCAAGTTGCAAACCAAGTCTGGCTGACCCTCATGGTTGGGGTCACTTAACAAGGGTACAGGGCACACTGAGGCCAGATGCTGCTGCATGGGGTTTGTGAGCCTTTGTGAGATTTTAGGAAAATCCTCAAGAGCTAAGATAGGTTGCTTGTGTGGAAAAGCCACCAAAAAGGGCTTGAACTGGCCTACAAGTTGGGTGGGGCAGGGTCTCAAGGAATCACCAAGGCAGGTCAAATGTTATTAACCAGGTTGATGGAGATTCAGATGTGGCACCCACCTGTGGGCTCTGTGGGGAGAGGGCTCAGCAAAGGAATAATGGCCGCTGCCAGCACTTCTGTCTGGGAAAAAGCTACCCCTCCAACCCAAAGCCATAGAATTCAGTTTCTCCCTGCATGTCCCTGGTGACTTTCAAGTTGCCGCCCCAGCGAGGGATCTCAGAGGAGTGAGACCAAGTAAATGAAAGTGTAGGCTTTTCAGAGAAATACCTGGGACTCTGGGAACCCTCTGTCTCACTTAGCCAAAATCGTTGCTGGTTTTTGCAGGCAGAAGTTATTGGGACTTCTCTTCCCAACACTGGAACCCTGGACTGGGGGTCCTGGTATGGAGCTGGAATCCCTTGCTCTTCAAGGAGAACCTCTGCAGCCAAGATATTTCTCCAGATTTTTAACCACCACAAGAGGTGTATGATTAGCCCATTAGGAGTCTATGTCTCTCCTACCAGTCTTCACACAGCTTCTTCTTTAAAACCTCAGTTATATGACTTTTATTCAGCTAGATTGCAGTGGTTTTCAATGATACTGTTCTGTAGTTGAGTTGGAATTTTGATGTGGTCATGGCAGGAGGCAAGCAAAGTGTTTTCCTACTCGCCATCTTGACTGGAAGCCTGCTTTTTGTATTCTTTTCAATGAAAAAGAATGCCAGGGCTTAAGAAATTGTTCTTTAAAAAATTAGTCTATCCTTGAGGTGCACAAAATAAGGGGAAACCATTTCTTTCCCTCTCTCTCTCTTTTTTTTTTTTAGAAACAATGATTGCTTAGAAAATGTTTGAAGATATATTTAAGTAAGAGCACTAGATCTGAGGAGCAAAGAAAATCCAAATCTCTGTCACGATATTAATTTTATTACCTGCCTGATGGTTTTCTTAGATCTTCACTCTCTAGCAGTAACTAAGTTATCTTTTTCTTCTAAAATTGCCAGATTCTCTAGGATTGTCTCCTTGATCATTTCATACAATGAAATGTGTCAGTCCTGGATTGGACACTAGTGACAGAAATACGAACCTGGCCCATGGATGAGGGCCCAGCCATCTCTGAATTTATAGTTCCAGCAAAGGAAAACCAAGAAGAAAATGATGACAGTCCTGAGTGAAGGTAAGTATACAGAACTAGTGAAATACTTTTGAGAGAGAAAACTGAAATTTAAAGGTTATCTTTGCCAGGATAAAAAGCAGGACAAATTCATGGCGAAAACCTGGAGGTAAGATAGAACACAGAACACTTGAGAAACTGCAAGTAGTGTAGAAGAGCTAGAGAAGAGATTGCACAGGGATAGGCTGGAAGGGGTACAGGTTTTACATGCCCTAAAAGGCATTGGGGAGTAAATTGGCACCAGTCCTAAAGGGTACAGAAAGCTCCTGAAGGGTCCTTGGCCGGGAGTGACATGGCCACTTTGTTTTTTTAGAAAAATCTGCCTGCCAGCAGTGTAAAGAATGGAGTGAGAGAGAACTCCTGACTGCAGGGAAACCCTTCAGGAGCAGCAGCAGTGAGCTCAGGGAAATAGTGGGCACAAATGTGGGCAGTGTCAGAGGAGGGAGAAAAAAATGGATTGAGAAGAGATAGTAAAGGTTTTTGAGAGATAAAGAGTATCCCAAATCTCTAGCTTCAACAAGTAAAGGAATGGTGGTGTCATTTATGGGGACGTGGTGACTAGGATGAAGTACCTCAAGGAGGAATTGGTTTTGGAGGAAAAGGCATAAAGTTTGGAGGACCCTGGAATTAGGTGCCTGAGAGACATACCAGTGAATACCTCCACGGTCAGTTGGAACAAGACTAGTTCTGAGCTAGAAGAGAGTTATGGAGCACTTATCTAGGAGGTACCTAAAAACCAGGAAGTGGAGATCACCCAGGGAGAATGTGCACAGGAAGAAGAAACAGCCCAGGAAGAGCCTTGAGGAACACTAACAATAAAAGGACGGCAGAAAGAGGAAAGAGAGAAGAGCTGGAGTAAAGTAGGAGAAGAATAGAGAGCAGGTAACAAATGATTCAAGAATGAGTTGGTATTAAAGATTCCTGCAATGTCAAGCAAAACAGATTGAGAAATACCTTCCAAAGAAAACCTCCAGTGTGCTGTAGAGGGATAAATACTAGTGAAACACAGGGTAAGTTAATACCTAATATAGAGATGTGACAAATAGTTTATTTTAAAAAATACTAAAATAATATATGTACAGCACTTCCCACATATAAGGGCAAGGAAACTTGTGACAAAGAAGATTTTCTTTTGCAAATTCTCATCTTCTCTAGCTTGAAAGTAAGTATACAAACTCTTGATATAAGGAAGTGTTTATGAAATACAGTTTTATAGTATTTCAAAGACTGGACTATATAGCTTTCTAACAGATCCAGAAGGAGAGAACTCAAGTACTTTGTTTAACTTGAGGTTCATTCATGACAATACACCCTATGCTTATATCAATATTTACTGTAATATAATGTACACATACCCTCCCATTAATTCAAGGGATGTTTTTCCAAAGGTAATATAATTACAACAGCAGCAAAATTATATCTTAAGCCTTATGGGAAGCTGAATGGGGCCCTTCTGTCTTTGCATAATGTTTTAGTTAAACCCTGTCGGTATAAAAGGCTTCTCCAGGACACTGACCTTAGTGTTTTTAAGTTTCCCTATAACACTCAACGTTTTTCTCTGATGGAGAACTTTACAAGGGGTTAATAATTTTAGTATCTTTTAAAGAGTCTAATAGCATAACAATTGTACAGTATAAGTTCTATGAGAGAAGGGTCACATCTATTTTATTTGCCTCCATATCCCCAGGACCTAACACACTTTCTTAAAACAGTGGATATTCAATAAACATTTGTTTAATAATTACAGTGTGTCCTCAAAAATGCAAATATACTTTGAGTAATTATTAATTCCAATGGATTAAATTTGAAAAGAAAGAAACATCAATTGAGTTATCAGCTGTTAATACATTTTTGGGACAGCCTACATGTACTGTTTGAGGAATGTGCACTGACAGTTTCAGGGAAAAAAACCTAATAAAGATCAATGTATCAAACTTACTGTTGAGAATTTTTCATGTAGCACTTTAAAGGGCTTCCATTAAAAAGATTAGTTAATTATTTGACAACCAAATAATTCAAGAAAACTAGTCCAGTAGTGTAATATGAGGGATTAGCATTTATAGCTATATAATAAAAGTGAATGTTTCTACATCACACTGCTTTCCACTGTGAGATTTTTAGTTACAGTTACATTGTTCTCTTATTGGTATGAAAATTAATTTAATTACTATTAAATCATTCTCCATTTTGAAATTAAAAACAACACAAAAGCAAGTCAATGGTCAATAACCTTTCAAAACGTGGTTGCCTCCACTGACTACCCACTGAGCTCAAGAGTACATTTTTTTTCAAAATATGATTGTATTATAGAATCAGATGAGTGATCATCACAACCTAGAAAGCTTGCTTTAGTTACTTTTTTAAACACGGACTTTAAAATTAAGAAAAACACAAGCTATTTTGATAGCATTTTCAATTTGTGTGATTTGTTAGTAATTTTTTCTTACTTTATTTTAAAATGTGGGAATTTTAGCATCAATAAAAATAAACCACATTTTCAGTAAGTTCTGTTCTTCATAAACTCATCCGGTCCCAACTATTGATGGCACATAATTTAGAATAGATATATGAAATTTATTTAAGGTTCCAATATTAGTTTTTTATTACATATATATAATTTAGTTTTACCTTTAATTTTCAAATGCCCTGCTAAAAAAGAACATGTTTTTATTTATTTGGGAAGACATGACCATAACATTCCTACTACCCCTAATTACATAGTACAGCATATATTTTCAACTAAAATATATTTTCAGATAAAACTGAAAAAGCAGGAACTCAAGGGGAAAAACAGTTAACCTATAGTGAAGGAGAAAGAGGAGGTAGCAGATAGAAGTGGAGGCTCACACTTTTGATAAGGCCAAGGGATAAAGGAGCTTTGAAAGAGGCATCCTTTTTTTGATAAACAACTGAACAACTCTAGTTTTGTTGCATCTCCCTACCAGCTACAACACTGCTGAACAGAAGAGAATTGTTGGCTCTGAGCAGGAAGGTGTGATCTCAGCTAAAGGTGCCTTTAAGGTCCCCATCTTATCTGTTGAGTTGGCAACAGTAATACGAATGAGCAAGTAAGAATATTTTGGCCACAGAACTAGGAAAACACATCACAATTCACTGATAATACAATAAAACCATAGCAAGCCAAGATAATTTATAGTGATTCAAGGAAAAGTCCCAGGACTTGCCATGCTCAGTCCAAAGTCAGGACTGAAACTCAGTCTTATTATGATTTCGAAAACTAGTGCCTTTGGTCTTTTCATTTATTTATTCTTTACCTCGCTGCACTTGTTTATTCGCCTTGCAACAATGAGCTGGATCATTCCTCGCTTGTTCCCTTCAGTGGACATGGACCTTCTGAGCGTTTCCATGGCATCTTGGTTTGTCTTGCCCAACAGGGATTCTCCATTCACTGCTATCAGCTGATCATTCACCCGAAGCCTTCCATCCTGAGAAGCAAACAGGTAAAAACAAGTCTGTTATAAAAGAAGTTGCTTTCATTTTAGTTAAAAAAAAATAAAAACACCACCAAAAAAGGGGGGGGGGGGCAGACTTTAATCCTAATGGACTTTCCCAATTGAATACTAGCATACTGTCCAGTCACTGTAGCCTTTGTCCATTTCAGTCATTTATACATTTGTAAATCAAATCATTATCATAATGTTTACCAAAATAGGGTACTAATTCAAAGGATACAAAGTGATTACTTTCTTGCTTCCATAGACACCCACAGAGGTTATTTACAACACAAGTGCAGAGAGAGAAGTGCCCTCTTAACAAACAACTAGGAAATTTTCCCTAGACTGGGAAATAGGATAAGTGATCTTTATTATATGGCAGCTCAGAGCCAGAACCTAAACTAGGTCTTTGCATATATTATCTTCATTTAACTAGAATGATTATGGGTTGTAAAATCTATGAGACAAAAAATGGGGAGTTGAAGCTATGGACACCACCCCAAAATGAGAGATCACTGCTTTTTACACACACACACACACACACACACACAATATTTGTTAAGTGTTATAGGATATCAGAATATGCCAACACAAAATATACCACTTTGGCATAAGAATGATTCTGAGCTGATGGCAACTGAGAAATGGCAGACACAGCAAGTGTTCTCTGCTCTCCCCTTTCTTCCTGAACACAGGACATGCATTTCCTTTATGAAGGTGTCCCCTCACTTTTCCCAAACCAGGGAAGTAAGGACAATGTTCAACACCAGTGACAGAGATGGCAAAGAGATGAGTCTGCATAAACAAACCTTACAAAATAAACCTTATCATTAGTTTCCCTGATATAATTACCTTCCCAAAATCTACAGCTCCTAGAAGCCCAAACCCTTTTTCCTTTTATTAAACACAATGTACTGCTCTTTGCTTAAATAGTATATAACCTTCCAAGTCTCGCTGTTTCTTCAGTTTACACTTTTTTTCTGTGGAGCCCCAATATATGTAAAATTTAAAATATTAACTTTAATAAAAAGTTAACCTTTTTCTCCTGTTAATCTGTCTTTTGTCTCCCAAGATTAACTAATAGGCCTCAGAAACAGAATCTATGAGGTATATAAAGACTGTCCTCTGCAGTGTATACATTTCCAAAATAGTTATAGGGGTAAAATTAAACATTTTTATTAATGGACATAAGCTCAATAAAGTTGACATTTGCTTACTTTAGATGCTGCTCCTCCATTAATAATGGACTTGACAAAGATTCCCAAATCCGCATGGTTCTCTTTTGATCGGTTACCTTTGACACTGACACCAAGACCTGCGGATCCTGAATCATTAAGTGGAACTTCAAATGTCAAAAATTCCCTGGTACCATCAGGTGTGAGAACAACATCCTCCTCGTCTGCTTTCTAATAGGGAACAAAATTGCAAAGCACATTATATTCCATTGTTTCTTCCTCACAGATATGTTTAAAGGGCTAATGAGCAGTTCTTAATCATAACAGGCACAGTATCTCCACCAGAGTTCCATGACAAAATCCAGGATAGCAGTGCATCTGTACCCCTTCAAAGGATTCCTAGGGACAGTGATTATTATGTATATGCAGCATTTATTTAAATATTGAAACAAACCCAAAACAGATTCTCAGAAAGATAGGGGGAAATATAGTGAAAAGGACTGAAAACATGTAGACTCCTAGAGTTTGGGATTTTTTTGCGGGGGAGGGGGAGAGGGAGAGGCAGGAGGATTTCTGTTTATACAGAGTGGGGCAAAAGTAGATATACAGTTGTGAGTACCTGGAACAGAGTTATTTATTAATCATTGTATTATTTTCAATATGAACAACTGTGAACCTACTTTTGCTCCACCCTGTATATATTCTAACCACAGGAGAAAAATAATACATGAATCAAAATAAATATAACTCATTTGTCCCTTGCTTTTCATTAGGAATTTTCAATGTTATTAATAGTTTTATTCAAAGATTTTTCACAATACTGTACCATACATAATGTTAGGACTATAGATACAATCCTTAACAGCTATTTATTTGTAAGCTTCCTGCCACAGGAGAACAAAGACCAGGAAAAACTTGTTGATCACCAGGAGTCAGACCATATAAGGAATGGAAACTGTCCTGATGGCACACCTGCATTCCATCCGTATTCTAAGCCCACCAGCTCAGCCCTCAGACCCACTCACAAGCCCTTCCCACCAGTGACTGCACAGAATGATGAAACTCCAGCTCCTGGGTGCTTCCATCATCGACCCAATGTCACCTTGGCTTAGTGCGTGCAGCCCTTCCCTTTGGATATTCTATCCTTTATCCCCTTTCTTTAAATAAATTCAATTTTCCTTTATCCACTATCTGAGATGGCTATTTAGCCTGCCTGAGAACCACCCATTGTTAACCTTTCACATACTATAGATGGAATTTTTCAGGTGATATTGTTTAATTAAGGAATGGAAACTGTCCTGTTGGCACACCTGCATTCCATCCGCATTCTAAGCCCACCAGCTCAGTCCTCAGACCCACTCACAAGCGCTTCCCACCAGTGACTGCACAGAAAGACGAAACTCCAGTGACTGCACAGAAAGATGAAATAGCTGTATATGCAAGCTTTAATGCCATAATTGCAGTCATCAAGGCATAAAAGACTGCTTTAGAATACAACATATTTTAACTTACATCAACTTTTGCCCATCTTAAAACAGCAAAGAAGAAATGAAAGCTTAAAGTCTAACCTAATTAAATGCAGTGAGATGACATATTCTATCAATAAAAATTGCCCATGCCAGTTTGGCTCAGTGGAAAAAGCATCAGCCTGAGGATTGAAGGGTCCCGGGTTCGATTCTGGTCAAGGCACATGCCTGGGTTGCAGGCTCAATCCAAAGTAGGGGGCATGCAGGAGGCAGCCAATCAATAATTCCCTCTCATCACTGATGTTTCTATCTCTGTCTCCCTCTCCCTTCCTCTCTGAAATCAATGAAACTATATTGAAAAAAATGTACACCACAAGATGCAGCAGTGTGCCTCCTGTGCCCCTCCTCAGTAATCCCACCCATGGCCAAGACTTCAACCACCTAGATCTCTATACCTGTCACCTCCCAATGAGGAAGGCTAGAATTCCTTTTCAAACTCAGCATTTCCAACCACATAATGAACATGTAGCAGGAGCTCCTCAAATCACAACTAAATGCCTCATCTAGTACTACATCTTATTTATCCTCCTTTTTCCCCAATTTTGAAATATTAGACCATCATCCACCTAGTCCTGTGGTCGGCAAACTGTGGCTCACGAGACACATGCGGCTCTTAAAATAAGAATAGTTTTGTAAAGATACAGGGCAGAAGCTACATTAAGTATACAAAGTAAATAAATTTTGGTATCACAGTAAATATAAAGCCTAAGTCAGCTCATTATAAGACTTTCTTATCTGTAAAACATTCCTAGAGAATAGTTATAGCTCAAACAAAATCAATGTATTGGAGAGAAATAAACATTAAGTACTCACATCGAAATACTGATATCATTTAGTATACTGATATCATTATCACATATTTAGTATATTGATATCATTATCACATATTTAGTATACTGATATCATAACCACATATGAATTATACTGACATTGTTATCACATATTTATACTGACATCATTATCACATACTTAGTATACTGATATCATTACCACATATTTATTATACTGGTATAATTATCATATATTTATTATACTGACATCATTATCACATACTTATTATACTGATATCATTATCACATATTTATATACTGATGTCATTACCACATATTTATTATACTGATATTATTTATCACATATTTAGTATACTGATATCATTAATCACATATATCTTTTTTTTTTTTTCGCAAGTCAAAGCCCAATTTTATTTACACTCATCCTAAAGCACACGATCTGGGGCTAGAGGACAGATCTTGGGGAGAGGATGTTGAGGCCACAGAGGACAGTAACAGGGTGCAGAAGAATGGGCCGCAGCGACAATGGATGGGCCCTCTCTGAGTGTTCTCCACGGGCGCCCATGTATCCCTGGGCAGAGGCAGAGGTGCAGTCTCATTCAGGATTTGGACTTGGATACAGCAAGTCCGATGAGTCCAGCCAGTCCCGCCACACCCAAGGCCATGCCTCCAACAATGGCCATGCACACCAGCCCATCTGGGGAGAAGACACGAGCCTGCTGCCTTCTCAGACTGAAATTTCTTTTCAAACTTCAGCAGGTCGTCCACAGACACCAGCTCGTTTAGCACGGCCTCCATGGCCGCCGGCCCCGCAATCCTCACACCTCAGACGTTACTGTGCCACCAACTCCATGGCCCACTGGCAGGAGGGCCACATATATCTTTATATACTGTTTTGCTCTAAAAGCTTTTTTTGTCCATATCATTCAAACCAATTAAGAATGCTAAATAATGACTTTGTGTGAATGAATATAGCTATGACAAAATAAAATCTGTTATAAAAACATAATATATAGGTAAATTTTCATGTTTAAAATACAAAATAGAAGTAAAACACAATCCTCTTCTCCTTTAAATTCCAAAGTAATTGAAATATAAAATGTACTTTGTAAACCAGTATTGATATTCCTGGGAAACTTGCATTTGAAAAGATGAAAAAAAGAATGCTTGGCTGGGACCATTTGGGTCTGATCAATTAGTATGCTTATTTGCTCTTTAAAAACCACTTAAATGCTTCATTACAGAGAACTGTTACAAAGTCTTCAGAGTATAGGATCTCATCATTCTGATACAAAGGAGGAGCCAATTGTCTATCACCTTAATTATTATTCCATACAGATTCTGTACTTTATCAAGTTTCTTGAGTCAAACTGTTTCTACAGAATTTATCTTCAAACCATATACATAATTGTGTCCTTCATATACATACATGTACACTCAAAGTGATTTTTTCCATCATACACTCAGTGGTTTTTTTCCATCAGTGCAACCACACAGTTCTTCCTTTGCTCATTACTTTATTGACATTTTGCCCATTTAATGCCCAGAAAAAATGGCATTTTTACTGAGCATATTAAAAGCAAAGAACCTGCGGGATGGGCAATATATAAGCTATTTACTTCCCCATTATCCCCTGAACAGCAGAAAAGACACATACTTCTATCTGCAGTGAAGACAGCAAAAGCAGACACAAGCCCTAAATTTTGGAGATTAAACCCTTATCTGAAATAGCATTGGCAAGTATGTTCTCCCATGTAGTGTTTTGTTGATGGTTTCTTTTGCTGTGCAGAAGCTTTTTATTTTGATGTAGTCTCATTTCTTTATTTTCTCCTTAGTCTCCATTGCCCTAGGAGCTGTGTCTGTAAAGATATTGGTATGATATATATCTGATATTTTGCTGCCTCTGGAGTCTTGTAGGATTTTTTATGGTTTCCCTTCTTACATTTAAGTACTTTAGCTATTTTGAGTTTGTTTTTGTGTCTGGTGTAAGTTGGTGATCTAGTTTCATTTTTTTGCATGTATCTGTCCAAATATCTGAGCACCATTTGTCGAAGAGACTCTCTTGACTCCATTGTATGCTCTTGTGCCAGTGCTAGGTTGTTTTGTAAACAGTGGCTGTGTAATACAGCTTGATATCTGGTATTGAGATCCCTCCTACTTTGTTCTTCTTTCTCAGGGTTGCTGTGAGTATTTGGGGTCTTTTTTTATTCCAGATGAATTTTTGGAGAGTTTATTCTAGGTCTTTGAAATATCCCATTGGTATTTTAATAGGAATTGCATTGAATCTGTAGATTGCTCTAGGTAGTATGGACATTTTAAAGGCCGGGCAGCCTCTACTGCTGCTGAAATATCTTCTGGAACAGCCGGCTCTACCACAGAGACCAGGCCATCTTGAAGGGGAGAGTGGCTGTAATCGGAAACCCAGGCTTACCTTCAACTGGGGAGACTCTGGATACCTCCTGGGACCCTACAACTACAACGCCCAGGAACCATCTGCCTCAACTGCAAACCCATAAACACAGGGAATCCAATCTCGGATGAACAAATAATCTGTCAAGGGGGAGACAAAGCGGCGCAAATACACAGACAAGCCCTGTACCTTCTCACAGAGCAGATAGAAGGAACAGCTGAATCGAACAACATCCACCTGGAAATGGCAAATTAAACACAGCTGGTGAGGCATTCCGCAGACGGAAAAGTCAGATATCACCTAGAGAAAGGTGAGATCTAGGAGCCAGGCTTGAGGGAGAAACGTGCACAGCGGGATCTAGAGTCCCAGAGGAAGACTGTGCCCCCACAAAATCCACGGCCAGTGGGGTCAGTGTAGCCTGCGAATGTGGAAGGGGTTCCACAGAACTACTGGCAGAAGGGGTCTCTAGAAATCAACCCACAGCTGGGCTGGGCCCAGAAAGGC